TCCCCCAGCTTAAAAATAAGGATTAAAACCCCATCGGATCTCGCTACCTCCCCTTTTAGCGATTGAATGCAGCTTCCTACTCAAGTCAGGTATATGCTCTATGCACTCCAAAAGGTGAATAAAGCGGAGGCTCACATGTTGATGCCCATGGAGTTTTCGCCACAATCGCACGAATAACCGCTACTTTGTGGAAAATTCTTGTGGTTTAATGAAAGCCATCCTGTGTAGCTCGTGGTGTCATAAAAATGCATGAGTCATTAGTCAACGTGCTCTCTTTGTGGTGAAAATATTGCAGGAGGTTGATAGAATTAATTGCACATGCAGCGGAATATCATTCCGAGTGCAAATCTTTTTAATTTTTTTTAAATGTCTTTTTAATTCCTCTTTTATTTATTGAATACACAAATGTACAGTCAAATTTCAGGAAGGAGGCGGCCGTCCTGCAAAGGCTGCCTGGGGAAGACGGGCAGCGCTGGGGCGGTTCGAACCCGGGACTTCCCGGTCGCAACTTGGTGGCCTAACCACTTGGTCCCCCTTCAAGTGTATAAATTTTGTTTGAGATGCAATAGCTTAAGCTATCTTTGACGTTGTTACGAGACCAGTTGCTGAATCTTCACTTATCAAGACTCGTAAGGTGATTCCTTGACTGGGCTTGAATTTTCCCCTCGCTCTAGGACTAACGGCAAGTCATGGTACTTCTACCTCTTTCACCGTGTTTTTGAGATAGTCCTTGACGAAAGATATGTGAAGGGATTCAGTGTTTGCCTCATCATTCTAGGCGTTTATGAAAGGTTGAAACGAAACAATCAAGGGACATCCAATATACGGTGAGCCTAGTTCAGGACTTTCACAATTACCGGCTGTCCGCCACCCGTGTGTTCGGGACTTAATGTCTGCCTCTTCCCCCATCGACTGCCTTTTAGGTGGCTCTATTTGTGATGTGGACCCATATGGGGCACCGTTAACCTTTATTATCCGAGGCTGTATTCAAGCTCCACTTTGAAGATGACCTAATGAAGTGAAACTGATGCTTTATAATAAAGCAAACCGAGGTGAATGTATCGCA